CATTTTTTTCTGAAAAGGTGGTGTCTATTTACTTGTGACCACGCTGTGTATATCCAGGCCTAATGACTTTTGATTTTTTGCCAAATTACATTCGCAATCTTTCTTATTAACTTTACTCCATTAAATACGCAAGAATCAATTTCTGAAACCCATGTTTCATGACTTGTCATGAACAAAATAAATAACTGTAAAGTTTCTTCTTTGCCAAATGAGTTCTCATTTGATTTGGTAAACCAAACTGCAATGGTTAGGTAAAACTTCAAGCTTGTTTCTTGACTATTATTGAATTTTCTTAATCCTGAACAAGTACTGAAAAGCTATTTGGTATTATCGGTGTCATGAAGTGCTGAGTTTGTTTCTACTAAATTATTTTAAATTCACTAAAAACTTCACTGAACAAATACTGTATAACAATGGCATGAAGCTTATTTTTTAAAGAATTCATGATGAAAGGTCATTAAGCGGAAATGTCCAAATGATTATTATAAACATCAGTCAATCACAAGGAAGGAAGGCAACCAGCCAGCAGCACCCATTGTCAACTTTTGGGCTGCTTTTTTTTTTTTAAAACCAAAGAATATAATTGAGCATGATGTTACAATGGATATACAGCTGAAGAGGCAAGTGTATTTGATGATATCAGGTATCAAATCTATGACCCTCAACCAAGGAGGCAACCACCCTAACTATCAGACCATGAAAGCCTGGAGGAATTATTAGATGAAGGTCAATTCTACTTGTTAGTAAAGAGTAATCCAAGAGGTGGATGTGGGTGCTGCTGACTGATTGCCTTCCCTCTGTTTAGCAATTCAAAATACAGTGACAGATAGCTTTATCATAACTTAAAACCAACAAAACAAGTATAACATACTTTCATGTCTGAGCATGTTTAATGACAATGGAAATCAAACCCACAACCTTTGAAGAACGATAAATCACATACATAAATGTATTAATAGATTTCCAACGAATAACAACAAAATCTGAATATTTATATTGCATTAATAGTTACAAGTATCAATTATATACACACACATTTTTTTTCTATACTGTACTGTATGTTGTACAGTAATGTTATAAAAACACATTCCATAAGTGGTTTTATATACAGACTACAACTGCAAAATAGCTTTAATAATGTGCAATGAAAAATAAACATGTAATAAGGATAAAGATGCATCAAATCAGCACTATGCTGATTCAAAATAATGACCAAATTTTATACCCACAACAATCTTATTTTCTTCTACTCGTTACGAAGTGAAGACACACCTAAAGTGCTTGATCATCTAGATGTAACTGTATACATTTTGTTCACCACCACATGCTTGATCACCTTCTAATAGTTGTGTTTACATAAAATTATTAATCAATACCACGAACTAAGCATATTTATAACTTATGTTAACCTGTACCCAATAATAATCTTGCTATTCACTGTTATGTTTACTATTTTGCTAATTTATGATCAATGTAATGAAGTAACATTTATTGTCATCAACAAAAATTCAGTAGCTTTAGAAGATTAGTCTTATGAAAATTTGTAAGGTGAAACCCACATAGTGGTATTAACTCAAATTGATTTTACGTAGCTTTCCTAAAAGTGATCACATTTTGGTGGTATAACACGATTTACAAAAACAATATTAAAATGTACAGTTCATTCCATCGCCATTTTATATCGACTGTGACTGTCCTACGACTTGCTAATTTGCATATACAAAATTGTTTTAATATAACATTCTTAAGCCTAAAGATTAATTGATTAGCAAATTCCACTAATTGTCCAACTGTAGTCTTAAATAGCTCTAGTTGTGTTCACAATATACAGGAATTTCCCAACACTGCAGTTATTGTTCCTAATGTTGAATGTGTACAAATACCAAATATAAATTTTGTGATGTTATTGCTATAAATGAAATCTTTTTGATTTTCTACTTATCTTAGATTTTCAGGTGTAACTATTAAACCCACCATAAAAAGTACTTTAAAAGAAAACACTCTCACTACTTTGTCCACCACAGAATGCTTTAAATCACATGTGAATGTTCTTTCTCAGATACAATCTAGTCACTGTATTTTCATGACAAAAACCAAAATGATAAAACATGGTGTGATTGTTTAAAAGGTATCTAAAATATGTACATGTTTACAAAACTTTGAGTGGCTCAATAAACCTTAAAACTATTTTGAAAAAAAGTAATACAAAGTTAGAAAAGACAGCTCAAATTGTAACTATTTCACTTGTAAACAAGATAAGCTAAACTATAATGAAAGAAACAAAAAATCTATTGTATTAGAACACGGGCTAATAACTATGACATGCTTGGAATTTATAATTAGAAGAAACTGATAATAATAAAAAAATAACACGTGTACACAAACATTTCTAGTTCCAAGATTACCAATAGTTTTCTTTTCTTACATGGGACCTCAAGAGATATTTAAACTCAGGTTAATATAAATAATAAAACATAATTATGGCAATATTTCAATTAACAGATAGTGGGAATAAACAAAAACAGTAATAATGAGAAACACTAATTTTGAATAGCTGATTTATTTTCACAGAATTAATCAATTTATTAATAATTTTGATTATTGAATAGTTGGAATAATCAGAAACACTAGTTGATTATTTTCATGACATTAAACAATTTCATCAGAATTTTGATTACTCAATTATTTTATGTGAAACTATTTAATGTAATTGATGCTTCCAGGGAACCGATTATATTGGTTAATGGAATTAATCACTCATATACCATCTGGTGATAAAATCGTTATTAATAAAATATTTATTAACAAATTTGTATATAAAACTATACTGGTACTATATTGACTTTAAAAAAAATACATTTATACTGAGAATTTTATAATTATACATTTTGGAGAAAGTATTTTTTGTAGTTTAAATGCACATATCTATATACATATTTTTTTAAAGTAAAGAAGTTAGTCTTCTAATCAAAACACACTATCAATGTCTCTTTGTAATACTGGTAGTCAGTTATAGTTTAATGTTCGTCTCATCAGAGCTTTGGGCCAAGTGTGGCCTGGTAGTTAGCATGAAAGACTGTGAATGCGAGGGACCATGGTTTATAGTATGTTGTTGCAAAAAATGTGCTCGTTACTTTGGGACTGAGTGCATTATAGGAGTGATGTTCAAATCCTACTTTTCAATTCGAGTAGCCAAAGAGTTAGATGTAGGTGCTGTTGACTACCTGCCTTTAGTCTAGCTTATCAGCTAACAATGAGCTATGGCTAGCACAGATAGTCCCTGTGTAGTTGTGTGTGATCTTCGAAAACAAACCAAACCTAAGGGCACAGCTTTAGTTTGTAACTTACCTGAGGTCTCTGATCTGACCAGCCATTTGTAAAGAAACATATCTTCTCTTAAGTTTGTAAAGTGTAATTACATGTACTGTAGTTTTATAGAAAAAAAGAGCTTAAAGAGATTGCAGCCAAAGCATCTAATAATGATGCCTTGGCTATTATTATTTACATCATAATAAAATTAGAGATGGTTGGTTACCTGTCTAGGACCTATGCATATTTTCTTTTCTCTTGCTTTTAATAACAGCTTGAGATGAATGTAGAAAGGCTTCATGTAGCTCTAAAAAAAATAATATTCAACTATAATACAAATTAAATGCAAACTTAGTGGTGATTCACATTAATACATGCACTATAATTCCATTTTAAGTAATTACTTCATTTCAGGACATGATGGATAAACTGAGTTAATATGATTTATAAAATATTTCATAATTCACATTGCTTAGTTACACATGTACTTCATAGTTTGTGTTAACTGAATATTACATTAATCTATTTCTAGATCTTGCACCTTAAGGTTATAGATATGTGAAGCATCTAAAAAATAATGCTGTGGCCTTAGCCTGACCTAAATATTCATAGAGGCATTGTTATTTCCAGACAGAATACCAGAGATGACCCTAAGGAAAATGATAGCCTGTGCAAACTTTGTAATTGGCACCCCTGCTCCTGTAAAATTGGCAGGAGCTGCTAATTGCAGTGTTGATATTAGCACCTCTAGAGGTGATCATCCTGTGCGGGGTGTATGTCCCTCCACCCCATGCATATAATATTATATTATTATGATTGTTCTTAATATTTTCACAGAGACCAAACAAAAAAAGGGTAGAGTCCTCTTATTCATTTCTAAAACAAAATCTTAATGAAAGATTTATACATATACATATATTTACAGTCAAATTAAAACATTGATGATGGACATGTTTCAGCAATTAATATTTGAAGGGATTGAAATCATGGTAGCTGTTGTTTAAGGGGTGCAAGTTTAAAGGTACATATATTTCATACAATGATTTGCACTTCAAAACATTCTTTATCATAACTTACATCTATTTATATTGTTTCTACAACTCCTTCGTTAACTGAGCATACTTGATCCCAGATTACCTATTAGTTTACTGAATACTCAGCACTGTGCTATACAGGCAATTTGGTCCATTAAGGTCACTCTTCATCCTTCCCAAAGTAAGCTATAAACAAGTTAAATGAAACATTTACATTTGTTATACCTATCCAACAAATGTTTAGATACATTCTTACTAAATACACACTATATCATCAGACATACCATATACTTTTTTCACTCGTACACGATCATAAAATCAGAACAAGACTGAGTTGGGGCAACACATGTAAACACTAAGCAATATTTAGCTTTGGCAATCAAGTTGGTACTTAAGCTTAGCAAATTTGCTAAAAATATCCACAAGTTTAATAACAAACTAGGTGTAAATGCAATAAAGTGATGATTAAAGTCTTGAATCAAGAATATAAGTTCTTTTGGGAGAAATACATTTCCAAAAAAGAAGGTATGTGCAATAAATTTCAACATATCTCATCTATTGAATGTTTGCATGCATGTAAGCCTACAACCTATAAATGCTCAAAGTCCACAGATGTAAAGAATTTATTTATCATTAAAAAAAATATATATATATATATATATATGTATTAGTTTCTTTTAGAGAATTTTAATTAAGGAAAGTCCTTGTTGATATGTTAGGTTCACAAGTTCTTCATTTTACAAAGGATAAAAAATTTACTATTAAAAGTGGCAGTTTTAATCTAAAAACTTGTTCACTTAGCTCATAAAGTTCCCTTATATGAAATTTCCCATCTTTGAAGATGTATGCTTATCAATACTGATGATATTTAGTTTTGATATTTGTAGATAGCTTGCTCTGATCAAAAGTTAATATTAATGTATACACTGAAAAGTTTTTACAAACTAAACACACAGTGGTGACAAGTCATCTATATCATAACCAAAAACTAAAAATTTAAATGTCATAAAAAAGTCCTTTATTCTGTATGTCATTTCTATGAAGGGAATGTACAGTGAGAAAATTGTCGAGTCAGAATTACAAAATTACATCAGTAGACAGACCAACTAATTATCCTCATTCTATCTAATTAAGAGATGTATAGCATTCAATAATTGCCGGAGGAATTCATAAAACAATTACAAAGCAGTTTACTACCCTCAAATTTACTCCATGTTGAAAATAGCCAAGCTTACTATAGTTACATTATTTGTTTGAACATACTTACACCACATCATAGTGTCTTTAGCAATGCTCATCTCTTCTGATAGTAATAATCTAGTACTTTTTCATGTCTTTATTTTATAAAAATCTATAGAAGCTTAGGTTTGTATGTTTTATGTCATTATTTGAATAAAGAGGGACTCAACTGTGCCATTTATTCTTTAAATTGTTTGCCATCTCAGAATCTGAGCTCCACACTGAGCCTTGATTTTGGTTTGCTTGTTCAGAGGTCAATATGGTCTTTTCAACAGATTTAAATTTCTAACATACAATTTTGTCAATGAACAACCTAGCAAATTATTTTCCAAAACTTCTACTTAAAGCTCCTAATATTGAAATGAAATCAATACAAATTTTTTCTATGCAATAGAGGAAAAGACCAAATTTTAATGAAACCAAGTCTATTTCCTCTTCTACTGGTTTCATTAACTTACTAATTAATCTATTGTGATGCACCTAACAATCAAAGCCTTTTTGAAAGTGGAAATACATAATATCAAACACAGAGCTTTTGGTTTCAATTCACAATTTTGGAAAGAATACATTTTGTTTTAGCTAGCTTGGTTTCCATTTAACCAAGACTTAGTAACACAACTAGCATCTAAAATGCTAACCACTGTCAAAGATTTTTATTCTACTAGCTTTCTTTTATTCTGAAGTTTACCAGATCCATTAAAAGTAAAATCCTCAGGATTCTTTCCTTAAATTGATCTGCAGATTGAGATTAAAATATTTTTGATACAGTTATATGCACTTAACATTAACTTTCTTCTTTAAACCGAAATCCTCTTTCATTGTTCACCATTATCTTCCCTGATAAAAGCCACTTTAACTTTTAACAACATTTAAGCTTTCTTTAATATGTTCCTCATCTAATCTGCTTGGCAAAAGGTAAATAAAATAAATGTTAATAGATGGTGTTAAAAACCAGATTTAATAAACAAAACAGTTACATTTTATTTTAATTCTAGATGATCTAATTAGGACTTCCGAGATTTATATTCAGGTGTATTAAATGATTACATTTTTCAAATGCACATTGTACTTAGGTTTTTCAACTCATGTAACAAGCTCTAATTCTAACATTTTCAAAACTCTGATTTGTTCCATTGGTGTTTGTCCTATTACTCAGAACCATTTGAGCAGAATGGATGGTGAATCAACCAAACTGCATATATACTTGATTCAGTGATGTCTGATTGCACAGTTAGCTACAGAATAGCAGGAGTGCATCATGTCTTGACAACCTGGAGATTTAGGTTTTCTGTTTTGGTGACTTGAGAATATCAATTTGTGTACATATGTGAAAGTTACAAGATGGACCTTATTAAAGTGGAAGAACATCATATCAAAAAAATGTGAATTAATTACAAAACTTACACAAACATAAAATTAAACCAAGAAAAGTAAGAAAAAATATTCCCTACTCCAAACATTGTGATGATGGCAAATGATTCCTTGCAAAAAAGATGAGATATTGATAAACAAAGGATTTATTTTGTTATAAGTATTCTACTTTTCCTTATTATCATCATCATTTTTTTAAAAATCAAGTTCAGTATTAACTGATTAAACCATATCTGATAAAATCTGGTAATTTAATAATTAAACTCAAAGGTCTAAACATACCTCCTTCTGTATACAAGAATTATCGTTGAAGATAGCCAAATTTTGTACCATACTTTTTTCTTCACTGTGGTAATACAAGTGTTTGTAATTACATTGCAATGTTTATATTATTACTGTTATACTTGCAACTAATGTCATATTACTGATGCAGTAATTACAAGTTTCATCACAAGTAAATACTATTTAAAATAGGTCTATTCACACTCATTTTATTACTTTTTCTTTTCATTGTTAATTAGAAAACACACCAGTGTTTAAACGTTACAACCTTTAGCCTCATATTATTCATAATATTACAATACTTGGTCTGATGAACATATTAATTATGTTACATTAATAAACTATTCATACTAATCTCCAATCAGAGCAAGCTACCTACTTATATCAAAACCAAAAATCAACCAGGTGTTAAGTATACCTATCTAAAATTTTCAAGAAAGCACATGAAGAATAAGGAAAGTATAATTTCTTATTTTTACCATAAACTAATAAATTAAAGATCATATCCAAAGCTTTCTTAGCTATATTAATTCACAACATCCCTCTATACACACCACTCATGAAATCATGACGTACAACTACATAATTTCTAAATTATATACTTTTCTTACGTTCAACAATAGTTTAAGGATCAGAACGTATTGTTTCATGAGTTATATACCCCTGCTAATACTATTACCGTTAATCTCGGCCGTAAACTAAGATAGTTGTTTTACTTTTGCTTTTAAACCTCATAAGCATGCTAGACGTTTTTTTTTTTAAATCTGTATCATTATTATTAGCATGCAAACACTTAGACACAACTGAAATAACAGGGTTTGATGACAGAATTATAGAAACGACCCATTGTATGCAATAAATAATATTACGCATGTCTATATAAACACATATACACACCTTAAATTATAAATATAAAAAGGCCAACGTTAGGCTTAACGAAAACTACACCTACTTTAACGATAACACTACTCATACTGTAACTTGTAACTGCAACGTAATATTCCACAAGGTATATGACACATTAACTTTAAAAATAACAAACAGTGAAAATACATATAAGCACACTGTAACGTAGAAAAACCACATTCAATAGTAAGCCTCGCTTTAAAAGTTTAAATTATTGACAGTGTTAAAACTTGTTAAAGCATACACTAAGTCCACGTTGAATGACGTCACAAAAGGGACTGTTGGCTAGATTTATCTGACCTTGGCTGCAGTACACTTATACTAACGGATGTGTATTGCTTAATGGCTTTATAAAGTCTTCTTTCATAGTTTCATTGAGTCACTGCATGCAAAAGCCAACAAACAATAATACACTAATGACCTTCTTTGTTACGTTTTCCACCAAGAACTTAACCAAACGGCCCTTATGAACTAGCATTTACAATACACCGCTCGGTTACTTACCGCGTTCTTTCCTAAAATTGCTATGGAAGCGGACTGGTAAAGTCCATGTAAGCACGCGGGGTGTTCCAGATGGTGTGCTTGTTTGGATAAACACCACTTTGACCTCAACCATTTCCTATAAGGGGTGTGGGTTGTCAACTTCAAATTATTTTACAATATGTAATTTCATTGTAAAGAGATTTTCTCGAATAAACCTGAATGAGCAGAGCTTTTAATCAATCTTTTTGTGCTTTTTTATATCCAAATTTGAATATTTACACAGATTATAAATACTTTTATTTTTACAATTCATTGCATGAGTAACACTCAAGGACATGTAGAGGTACACCTAGCACGTGTTATGCTCGCGCTTGTTATACCTTTACACTTTTATGTTAGCTTTATGAACAGTAAAAAAAAGGCTTCTTTTTATCATGAAAGTACTGTAAGCGGAAATATATAGTTTGAAATCTCATTTTAATTATATTTAGATGTGCTGCAATACTATGACGTCACTGGATCGTAATACTTCTGTTTGTTAGAACGATCCAACGTCCAAAATATTCTACACTTCTAGGCCAAATCACAATATATCCTCACGTATGAGAGAAAAGTCCATTAGTGAGTGTAGGGAGAATTACTTTGTGCTGTTGATGCGATAAATTAATAATTTGCGTACGCAGCACAAGTGTACCGACAAATAATAAAAGTCTGTATAACAAAAATTAGAGGAATTTTGTTCACAAAGTTTTGAAAACAATGGGTGTATACAGTTAATAAAGGTAAAAAATGACATGACTATGAGAAAACTAGTATTTTATGACATGTTTGAAGAGTATTGTTCACGAGTAGCAAATTTCTCTTCTTGGATTATTTATTTATTAAATGTACTCACGAACAGAAAGAGCAATGTGCTAACCCAATTATATATTATGGTTCACAACATGAGTAAAGAATTTTATTATTGTTTTTCAATCTCTTACACATTTTATATTTTCCTTTCAAAAAATTCATTGAAATGACAGAGCCATTAGTAACTGTATTTTGGTTAGTAATTGGTTCTTTCTTTGTTTATCAGAAATATAATGATGGAATACACCTGTTTTGATAAATCTACATTTTAAATTCATTTGTTCCAGTATTAAAAATGTTGTGATGAGAACGTGGAAGCATGAAAATTGTTATTGTCTTTGTCATTAATTTCGAGGAAACCTGTCTGAATGATGACGTTACTTTATAATAATATACCTCCAGATATTAGAATATCGCCTATAAATTAGTCAAGTT